GTCGACAAGTTGTTCCTCAAAATTATTTAGAAAACTTGAGGATCTAGAATAATCAAGACAGACTTGAAGACAAAGATGAAGAACATAACTACCTGATTTTAAGACTATCAAGCTATAGTGATTAAAACACTATGGTATTGGCATAAGGATAGACAACTAGATCAGTGTAACATAACAGAAAGTCTAGAAATATGTTAACATAAATAAAATGAGTTGAGTTTGACAGTAGTGCCAAAGCAATTTATTTATTTGTTTATTTATTTTTTAAAAATCTATCATTTATTGCTGTTGAGGACCAACCAGGAGACTTTCCCCCAGTCACAACATCTATTTCTCATCACTGATGGACTTGGAACTATGATAGTTTGCTAATTCTATAGCAGGAAAGATTGGCAGTGTGTGAGTGAAGTTCCTGTCTTTGACCATGGGTTTGTGGCATATGTTTAGTGAGTGGTTATTTTTTGCATATTTTCTCTTTGGTAGATGTGTGACAGTTAATTGTTACTCTGTTTGCCAAAGCAATTTACTGCTAGAAAGTTGTTTAATTAAATAATGCTGGTACAAATGGATATCTTTTTGGAAAAAAATGAGCCTTGATGTCTATGTCACACTATAATCAAAAACATTAATTTGATATGGATTACAGACTTAAATGTGAAAAACAGGAGAATATCTTTATGACCTTGGGGTCAGTAAACAAAAAAAGAAGAAATTGAAAAGTTGGACTTCATCAAAATTGAAAACATCCCATTAAAAGACACCGTTAAGAATGTCAAAAAGCAAGCTACAGATTAGGAGAAAATACTTGCCCTACATATATCTGACAAAAGACTTGCATCCAGAATACACAAAATTTGTACAAATCATTGATGCCACAACAAAACCTTTTTTTTTTTTGGGGGGGGGGCCATACTGCGTGGATTGTGGGATTTTAGTTCCCCAACCAGGGAGTGAACCCTGGCCATTGGCAGTGAGAGCATGGGGTCCCAACCACTGGACTGCAAGGGAATTCCCAACAAAATCATTTTTTTAAAAGATGGGCAAAATGGGCTTCCCTGGTGGCGCAGTGGTTGAGAGTCCGCCTGCCGATGCAGGGGACACGGGTTTGTGCCCCGGTCTGGGAAGACCCCACATGCCGCGGAGCGGCTGGGCCCGTGAGCCATGGCCGCTGAGCCTGCGCGTCCGGAGCCTGTGCTCCGCAACGGGAGAGACCACAACAGTGAGAGGCCCGCGTACCGCAAAAAAAAAAAAAAAAAAAAGATGGGCAAAATTAGTAAGCAGGCACCTCACAAAAGGATTTATTGGAATGGTCAATAAACATAAGAAAAGGTGTACATCACTAGTCCTTAGGAAAATGCATATTCAAACCCCAGTGAAATATTACTGCATACCCAGCGCAATGACTAGGATTAAAAAGATTGACAAGACCAAGTGTTGGTGAGGTTATATAGAACCCTCATATGCTGTTGGTGAGAGTGTGAAAGTGTATATATTTTTTGTTCCTCAGTTCCCCTGACCACTTAAACTAGGGCAGGATTGAGTGCAGTGGTGCCCACATTCAGATGGCCAGGAATTCATGGGAAATATAATAGAGTGATATGTGTGTGCTCAGCAGGTCTCTTGGTTGCAAATGGCCCAACTCGATTCTACTTAAACCAGAGAAGATGAATACGTTGTCTCAGGTAACGGTTCCTGAGGGTTAACGTCAGGCTCAATTACAGCCAAATACTTCAGACTGTGTCTACAGAAATCAGCCTTTTTACTCCACTTTCCTCAGGGATGGCTTAGTTTTCAGACAGACCTTGGTCACTGTGGCCGCATGAAGCTGCGGGATTATAACCTATAATGTTGAACCCAGCTACTAAGCCTTATTCCCAGTATTGTCCTTGATTTGCATCCCTAAACTGATCATCAGAACCACTGTGAGGCCTAGGTCAGGTCCACCCTTGGGCTGGGAGTGACGGTGCTGTGGTTCCTCCCTCAAAAAGAGGCACTGTCACTAGAAAAAGGGGAAATGGATGCTAGTCTTGCGAAACAACCTATTTTCTCTACATTGTACTTATTTAATGTTTATTTCCCGAACTCCAATAGCTATGTCCCAGGCCCTTGCTAGACCCTGGAAATGTAAAGGTGAATTGTTTGTGAATAGAGAGCAGATCTGTAGCCTGGCATTGAGAACTCTGTGATGTGTTTGGCCTCATCTTCCTTTCGTTCAGTAGCTGTATTCTTTTCCAGGCACTTTGTGCTCCTTGTATTTGAATTGCTGGTAGTGTCCCTCCTTGTCCTTGGTTTACCATTACATTACTCTTTCTTCCCCCAGAGTGCTCTACGTCTGGAATATGCCCATCCCTCAGACCTCAACATGTTTCAGTTCTACCCTTCTTCCCAGGCCTGGCTCAAACACCTCTTTCAGAAGCCCTCACTGAGATTTTTTTGACCTACGTTAGTTTCTCTTCTTTGCTTTTGCCTGTTATTCTATCCATAGCTTATCTTAGCTTTAAGTTCCTTCAATTCTAAATAGCCTGATAGCACCTGGCAGAGTGCTGGGCACACAGTAGACTTAATAAATAATGGATAGTTATTGTACTTTTTTTTTTAAAGAAGATGTTGGGGGAAGGAGTTTATTAATTAATTAGTTTTGCTGTGTTGGGCCTTCGTTTCTGTGCGAGGGCTTTCTCTACTTGTGGCAAGCGGGGGCCACTCTTCATCGCGGTGCGCGGGTCTGTCACTATCGCGGCCTCACTTGTTGCGGAGCACAGGCTCCAGACACGCAGGCTCAGTAGTTGTGGCTCATGGGCCTAGTGGCTCATGCTCCGTAGCATGTGGGATCCTCCCAGACCAGGGCTTGAACCCCTGTCCCCTGCATTAGCAGGCAGATTCTCAACCACTGTGCCACCAGGGAAGCCCAGTTATTGTACTCTTGATAATTTTGGAATTATCTGTTGCAGTCCTTTAATTGTCCAGCAGTACCAGATATTAGTAAGCTGGCCTTTACTTAAGAACATTTTGTATACATGTAAGTTACTTAGAAGTAACTTACTGCTTCCCAATCACTCTTTGATGTAGCTTCATCACCTGTGATGTGGTATATTCAAGTTTCTTACACAAATGCAGTCAGCATAGTGGTGTTCGCAGTCATGGCTGCATGTAGGTCTTTAAACATCCATTTGGACTAGAAGCAAAAATACCCATTCTGTTCCCCTCCCCCCACCGTCCAATTCAGTAATCATTTATTGGTATGTGTCTAGTAGAGTAGTGGTTCTCAAATGTTAGTGTGTATCAGAATCACCTTGAGGGTATTTTAAAACATGAATCGCTAGGCTTCACCTCCAGAGTTTCTGATTCAGTAGGTCTTGGATGGGCTGAAGAATTTGCCTTTCTGACAGCCACTCAGGTGGTGCTAATACTGCTAGTCTGGGGACCAAGCTTTGAGGACTGGTTTACTAGTAGTAGATTTAACCCTCATTGCACATCAGAATCACTTCCTCGTTTTTCACCTCCACGAGTTCTTTTTAAGAACTGTCCTTTGCTCAGTTAAGTGAAAGCATTTGGAATCTCTGCTGCAGCATGGTGTTTGCAGGATTTTATGAGTATTTCTAACAGAATCAGCTGCACAACAAATACAGACAAAATTCCTTTACGCCACATCTCCATAGCACCTGTGTGATGAGTATGGTACCTGTGTGATGGTGGAAGTACTGACCAGCTATGGTTAGGTAGTTGTAGTTCATGAAAACATATATTCCTAATTCTGTTGATGATTCGCTCTTTGGTCTTGACCAATTCCCATAATTTTTCAAAGTCTGGTTTTCTTTAACATGACATTAAAAACACCTTTCTCTGATTTTGCAATCATCATTGCAAGAAGCATAAAATGGATGCTGAATCTTGGGAGCAGGGCAAGTTTCATGATAATTATCTGAGGTATCTCCTGTAGATTGCTTATTAGTTGTAAGGGGAAGAAAGTAACTACAGTGGAGAAATTGGCTGTCACTTTGGGTGATGAAAATTAACGTCATCGATGAGGGGAAGATGGACATCTTGTCTCTAAATGATGTACCTACAAGGGCACAGCATCCTTATGTAGCACTCTGACTGGTAACACGTAACTGCAATCTACTCATAAGGAAACGTGAGACAGACCCAGTGAGGAGATTTCTATTTTTTTTATAAAGGGTTTGTATTCTGCAGTATCATAAAAGATAAAGATTGAGGAACTGTTCCAGAATAAAGGAGATAAAAAAACACGATAGCTAAAAGCAGTTATGTGATTCTAGACTGGGTCCTGTACTGAGGTGGAAAAAGTGCAATAAAGGATATTGTTGGGTCAAATGACAAGTTGGAATATGAATGGTAGATTAGATAAAAAGTATTGTATCAATTTTGAATTTCCTGAGATTGATAACAAGTACTGTGGTTATATAAGATAATCTCATTCTTAGGAAACACATTGAACTATTTAAAGGTAAAAATAAATGATGTGTGTAATGTAATCTCAGGTGAGTCAGAAAAATATGTGGGAGAGAGAGAGCAAGCAAGTAAAGTAAATGGGGCAAGGTTACAGGTGTTCTTTGTAATTATCATTGTGACATATTTTTCACTGTGACTTTTTGAAAGTTTGAAATTATTCCCAAATAAAAACTTAAAAAAAAACAAACACCACCACTCTCTTCTCTTCATTTCAGGGTAATTGTAGAAATTTTAAAAAATCTGTATAAAAATGTTTTCAAAGATCGGTCTGCTTTTCAAATGATGGTTCCTGTTCTGCTTTGTCTAGGGAGCCTCGTATCTCATTCTGTGGGTGTTCTCAGGAGATTGTTAGCTCCTGAGAGCCTGCAGGGGGTCAGCCTCGCCCTGATTGTAATATCCAGCCCCCCAACAGGGTAGCTTCTGGTGTCTTGTTCAGTGCTTCCAGTAAGGCGCACACTAAACTAATGTGTGAACATTGTCTGTTATTATAGATTGTACCTTCAGCTTTGAACAGTATATTTTTCTTTCAGCTCAAAATGGAGTTAATCCTGGCTGGGAGAAGAAAGTAATTGAATATTTTAAAGAAAAGCTGAAGGAAAATAATGCTCCTAAATGGGTGAGCTCATTGCTACTGGGGTGGGGAGGGGGGGGCGAGGGTTGGGCAGACTTGGAGTTTCTCATAGTAGAGCAGTAATCCACATACTGTTTAAATATATATAAATTAATGTTCACTGCCCTCTGCTTTAAGTGCATATGTATTAAAAGGTTTTTGGTCTCTTTTGCAACTTAAATTCAAGCAAATAAGTGCTTCTATATTGGCGCCTCTAGGTGGCAGTAATTGACCATGAAAAAAATGGGTAGTTGTGAGAGATTCGATTATCTTTTGTTTTATTACCTTCATTTTAAAAGAGTTGACATGTACGAGTTTTAAGAGAAGAGCTCAACAAAGCAAATGCCTTTCTGCTAATTGGAAAGTGTTACGAAGGAAAAGCATCCTTTTACATTACAGTCAAGTGTCATCATACAAACTTGCAAAAACACAGGAAGTACTTTTGTTTAGCAGTTGTTTTATATTAACCATTGAGATCATTTGGCTCTCTTGATTTTGTGTGTGTGTGTGTGTGTGTGTGTGTGTGTGAATTGCGGTTTGAGTCTGGATATATATGTCTATGTATATGTGCTTAATGTTTTATACACAGAATATTTTGACTTGATTGTTTGTTTTCGTTAAAGGTACCATCATTGAATGAAGTTCCCCTTCATTATTTGAAACCTAACAGTTTTGTGAAGTTCCGTTGCATGATTCAGGATATGTTTGACCCTGAATTTTACATGGGAGTTTATGAAACTGTTAACCGAAACACAAAAGCACGTGTATGTATTGCTTTTTTCATGAAACTTACTGTTTACAATTAGTAGTATTAATTTTGTCCTTGTGTTGTTTATGGTAATTTTGATTCTGATAGATTGATATAATACTGTTATTTTTTTGCTTTGGGTCATAGGTTCTTCATTTTGGAAAATACAGAGATGTAGCAGAGTGTGGGGTATGTATACTTAAAATATATTCTATGATTTTTTTTTTTATCTAAAAATCTCTTAGAAGGTGGAATATTATAAATGATAAAATTAATTCCTTTCTTTCCTAATATCTATATACTTGCTTTTTAAAATTACAGGTTATGATAAGTTCTTTTAAAATGAAAAGTAGAAGAAAAATGAAAGAAGATTAATTTAGGGCTTTACACGTGCTTAATTAAATTTGATTAAATCCTGCCCTCTTTTCCCGGGAGGAAAAAAGTAAACTTAAGCTTTCTTTGATAAAAGGAAGTAATAGAAACTCTCTTACATATCAGTAATGGGAAAGGGAAGAAGACAGAATCCTGGATATAATTATAGTTGTAAAAGGAGTAGTTTTGAGATAGAAACTTACTAGAAAAGCAATTAGAGGAACCACTGTATATCTGCATTTTCTTTGGTATTGCTTTTCTGATAGTAGAAGAACAGCATGCAGAATTAAACTTAATTTCATTCAGACACCTGTTCAACATGCCTGGCATTGTAACTGGGGAAAGTTTAAAACTTATTTCTGGTTTAATAGTAGAGGAAGATTATCGGCCTGTCAAAATATATTAACTAAAAAATATCTCTCATATTTTGCTTTTTGTGTGTTTTTCATGTGGTACTATTGAAACACAGGTGGTAATTTTCAATTGTTAGAAAGAAAACAAGTATCACAGGTGGGGATTGACCAGGCAGGTGCTGAGGCACGACCCCAGTAGAAAGGTGAGCCTCAGTAGTTACCTCCATTCTGGATCTATTAGATTTCTGCTTTGCAGTCCAGAATCTTAATTTAATCAGGTTATTTAGGGCTTTTTACATTCTGGGAGTCTGACTCCTGCTTACCCAAACCTCAAGAGGTTGATTTATAAACCCTAATCCCAGCCTGTTAACTCACAGTAGAAATTGTTCCTGTTGAATAAATGTTGTAGCCCAGCGGGCTGATCTGTATGGAAGAAAAGCCCTAATTTGGAAGGTCGCTTATAAAGAAAAAATGATAACTTCCTATACTTATTTAGAGTAACGGACTCACGAATGATGGATTCGTTTAATCTTACACATGATGGCCTCCAGCTCTCGCATGTCTTTTTCCTTTAGGGCGCCCCACAGCATATGCACCATTCACAGCATGCACCATTGTGCAAGTCTAATGAATCAACTTGAGGTTTCCTGCATCCCTTTTTGAGGGGCCCTAAGCCATATTAGGCTAATAAATTAATACACATTTTTTTTTCCTGGTACACAATAATGCAGTGTCTCTATAGCTCAATAATCTCAGCCTCTGGAAATGGGAAAATGAAATAGGTGAGACTGTCTATCTGTGACACTCCCAAAGGCAAAGAGTTTTTATTTTCTACTATGTTGCTAAAGAGTCATAAGTAAAAGCACCATACCAGGAAAAGGGAACTTTGGCCCTGGAAAGAAAGACACAGAAAAAACTTAGCTTATATATATTATCTCAGGCTCAATTGATATCTCTGGGATTCTTTCTTTGTTTCCTTTCTTTCTTTCTTTTTCTCTTAAAAAACAGAATATAGATTTTATTTACTTTTAAGGGATTTTTTTGGTACTCTAAAAGTAATATGTGTTTGTTGAAATAATTTTTTCAATATTACATCTTGGGTCCTCTCTGCCTCTTATCTCTAAGTATATTTGAAATAGAGAATATGCCTTTTCTAAGGAATAATATCTGACTTTTAAATCTCATCTCAGAGCTACCTCGTAATGAGTATTTCACTAAATTCCTATTTCATCGGCTAATTCTGATAGCTTTCTATGAGAGAGACAGTGGGATTACCATGAGCGCTGTCTTTGAAAAAATTTAATAAAATAACATGTTTATTGAAAGGGAGTTAATTTTTTTTTCATTTTTCCTTTAACATCTTTATTGGAGTATAATTGCTTTACAATGTTAGGTTAGCTTCTGCTGTATAAAAAAGTGAATCAGCTATATGCACACGTATATCCTCATATCTCCTCCCTCTTGAGCCTCCCTCCCACCCTCCTTATCCCACCCCTCTAGGTGACGGCAAAGCACCAAGCTGATCGCCCTGTGCTATGCAGCTGCTTCCCACTAGCTATCTACTTTACATTTGGTGGTGTATATATGTCAATGTTACTCTCTCACTTCGTCCCAGCTTACCCTTCCCCCTCCCCGTGTCCTCAAGTCCATTCTCTACTGTCTGCGTCTTTATTCCTGTCCTGCACCTAGGTTCATCAGAAACTTTTTTTTTCTTAGATTCCATATATATATGTTAGCATATGGTATTTGTTTGTTTTTCTCTTTCTGACTTCACTCGTATGACAGACTCTAGGTCCATCCACCTCACTGCAAATAACTCAATTTCGTTTCTTTTTATGGCTGAGTAATATTCCATTGTATATATGTGCCACATCTTCTTTATCCATTCATCTGTTGATGGACATTTAGGTTGATTCCATGTCCAGGCTATTGTAAATAGAGCTGCAATGAACATTGTGGTACATGACTGTTTTTGAATTATGGTTTTCTCAGGGTATATGCCCAGTAGTGGGATTGCTGGTTGTATGGTAGTTCTATTTTTAGTTTTTTAAGGACCCTACATACTGTTCTCCATAGTGGCTGTACCAATTTACATTCCCACCAACAGTGCAAGAGGGTTCCCTTTTCTCCACACCGTCTCCAGCATTTATTGTTTGTAGATTTTCTGATGATGCCCATTCTAGCTGGTGTGAGGTGATACTTCATTGTAGTTTTGATTTGCATTTTTCTAATGGTTAGTGACGTTGAGCTTCGTTTCATGTGTTTATTGGCCATCTGTATGTCTTCTTTGGAGAAATGTCTATTCAGGCCTTCTGCCCATTTTTGGATTGGGTTGTTTGTTTTTTTCATATTGAGCTGCATGAGCTGCTTGTATATTTTGGAGTTTAATCCTTTGTCCGTTGCTTTGTTTACAGATATTTGCTTCCATTCTGAGGGTTGTCTTTTCATCTTGTTTACGGCTTACTTCACTGTGCAAAAGCTTTTAAGTTTCATTAGGTCCCAACTGTTTATTTTTGTTTTTATTTCCATTTCTCTAGAAGGTGGGTCAAAAAAGGATCTTGCTGTGATTTATGTCTGTGTTCTGCCCATGTTTTCCTCTAAGAGTTTTATAGTGTTTGGCCTTACATTTAGGTCTTTAATTCATTTTGAGTTTATTTTTATGTATGGTGTTAGGAAGTGTTCTAATTCCATTCTTTTACATGTAGCTGTCCAGTTTTCCCAGCACCACTTATTGAAGAGGCAATATTTCCTCCATTGTATACTTTTGTCTCCTTTATCAAAGATAAGGTGACTGTATGTGCATGGGTTTATCTCTGGGCTTTCTATCCTGTTCCATTGAACTATATTTCTATTTTTGTGCCAGTACCATACTGTCTTGATTACTTTAGCTTTTTTTTTCTTAAATTTATTTATTTTATTTATTTTATTTTTGGCTGTGTTGGGTCTTCGCTGGTGTGCGTGGGCTTTCTCTAGTTGCAGCTAGCAGGGGCTACTCTCGTTGTGGTGCATGGGGTTCTCATTGTGTTCGCTTCGCTTGTTGTGGATAACAGGCTCTAGGCATGCAGGCTTCAGTAGTTGTGTCTCGGGAGCTCTAGAGCGCAGGCTCGGTAGTTGTGGCACACGGGCTTAGTTGCTCCGTGGCATGTGGGATCTTCCCGGACCAAGGCCCGAACCCATATCCCCTGCAGTGGCAGGCGGATTCTTAACCTCTGCACCACCAGGGAAAGCCTTGATTACTGTAGCTTTGTAGTATAGTCTGAAGTCCTGGAGCCTGATTTCTCCAGGTCCGTTTTTCTCAAGATTGCTTTGGCTATTTGGGGTCTTTTGTGTTTCCATACAAATTGTGCGATTTTTTGTTCTAAGTTCTGTGAAAAATGCCATTGGTAGTTTGATAGGGATTGCATTGAATGTGTAGATTGCTTTGGGTAGTATAGTCATTTTCACAGTATTGATTCTTCCAATCCAAAAATATGGTATATCTCTCCATCTGTTTGTATCATCTTTAATTTCTTTCATCAGTGTTTTATAGTTTTCTGCATACAGGTCTTTTGTCACCTTAGGTAGGTTTATTTCTAGGTATTTTATTCTTTCTTTTGCAGTGGTAAATGAGATTGTTTCCTTAATTTCTCTTTTGGATTTTTCATCATTAGTGTATAAGAATGCAAGAGATTTCTGTGCATTAATTTTGTGTCCTGCTACTCTACCTGATTTATTGATTAGCTCTACTATTTTTCTGGTAACATCTTTAGGATTCTCTGTGTATAGTATCATGTTATCTGCAAACAGTGACAACTTTACTTCTTCTTTTCCTATTTGGATTTCTTTTTATTTCTTTTTCTTCTGTGATTGCTGTGGTTAAAACTTTCAAAACTGTGTTGAATAATAGTGGTGAGAGTGGGCGACCTTGTCTTGTTCCTGATCTTAGAGGAAATAGTTTCAGTTTTTCACCATTGAGAACGATGTTGGCTGTGGGTTTGTCATATATGGCCTTTATTATGTTGAGGTAGGTTCCCTCTATGCCCACTTTCTGGAGAGTTTTTATCATAAATGGGTGTTGAATTTTGTCAAAAGCCTTTTCTGCATCTATTGAGATTATCATATGGTTTTTTACCCTTCAGTTTGTTAATATGGTGTATCATATTCATTGATTTGCATATATTGAAGAATCCTTGCATTCCTGGGATAAACCCCACTTGATCATGGTGTATGATCCTCTTAATGTGCTGTTGGATTCTGTTTGCTAGTATTTTGTTGAGGATTTTTGCATCTATGTTCATCAATGATACCGGCCTGTAGTTTTCTTTTTCTGTGACATCTTTGTCTGACATCTTTGGTATCAGGGTGATGGTGGCCTCATAGAATGAGTTTGGGAGTGTTCCTCCCCTTGCTGTATTTTGGAAGAGTTTGAGAAGGATAGGTGTTAGCTTTTCTCTAAATGTTTGATAGAATTCGCCTGTGAAGACATTTGGTCCTGGGTTTTTGTTTGGAAGTTTTTTTTTTTTTTTTGCAGTACGCGGGCCTCTCACTGTTGTGGCCTCTTCCGTTGCGGAGCACAGGCTCCGGACGTGCAGGCTCAGCGGCCATGGCTCACGGGCCTAGCCGTTCCATGGCACGTGGGATCTTCCCGGACCAGGGCACGAACCCGTGACCCCTGCATCCTGTGTCCCCTGCATCGGTAGGCGGACTCTCAACCACTGCGCCACCAGGGAAGCCCTTGTCCTCAATTCTTTTCATTCTTTTTTCTTTATTCTGCTCCCTGGCAGTTATTTCCACCATTTTATCTTCCAGCTCACTTATTCATTCTTCTGCCTCAGTTATTGTGCTATTGATTCCTTCTAGAGTATTTTTAATTTCAGTAATTATGTTGTTCATCACTGTTTGTTTGCTCTTCATTTCTTCTAGATCCTTGTTAAATGTTTCTTGTATTTTCTCCATTCTGTTTCCGAGATTTTGGATAATCTTTACTATCATAGCTCTGAATTCTTTTTCAGGTAGGTTGCCTATTTCGTCTTCATTTATTTGGTCTTTAGGTTTTTACCTTGCTCCTTCATCTGTAACATATTTTTTTGTTGTTTCTTTCTTTTCTTTTTTTTTTTTTCCTCTTTTTGATGGGTGGTGCTGTATTCTTGTCTTACTGGTTGTTTGGCCTGAGACATCCAGCACTGGAGTTTGCAGACAGTTGGATAGAGCTGGTGTTGGTGCTGAAATGAGGACCTCCGGGAGGCCTCACTCTGATTAATATTCAGAGGGATTTAATTTTTTAACCTAGGGTGCTGTATATTTGGATTTGAAGCAAGGTACTATATTGATTATTGCATTTGAAATGATTTTATGTCTGTTTTCTTTTCAAAAATGATAGTTTGGATTTAGTAGTTGCTTGTTAATTAACTCTTAATATCAAAGTATTTACTGTGATTTTATAAATAACATGGAAATATGGTTGCTAATTTTTCAAGTTTTTGTAATAAATTTTTTTAAATAAAACAAAATTTTGTATACATCACAGCCTCAGCAAGAAGTTGATTTAAACTCTCCACGAACTACCACTTTGGAAAGACAGACTTTCTATTGTGTTCCAGTGCCTGGAGAATCCACGTGGGTAAAAGAAATATCCTTTATCTGAACCTTCTTATGTGTTGAATGGTTACTGATTACTTAATTGAAGAGACCACAATTCACATTTTGATTTTTTTTTTTTAAACTTAGTCTTTTTACCTCAGTGAAGGTAACTGGAAAAGAAAATTATTCTTCATTTATAGAGCTTGGCTTTATTTTTATAAAATGTGTTTCCTTTGTCCTAAACAAGGAAATCTATAAAACAACCTTCAGTATTCATCACTGAGAAACGGTAAAATTATGGTGCATTCTGCTAGTGAAAAACTGTTTAAAAGATTGAGGTGGATTTAAAGGGACTGAAAAAGAGAGTTGCACAATCATTAATTTAAAAAACTGGTTTTAAATTAGAACTCATTCTAATTTTATTAAGGGAAAACAATATGTTCGTTCTTTTGAGAGATTGTGGAGACATCTCATTCTCATTTTTATTTTTTTTAGTTACTAATTTCTTTAGGCATAGTTCACATACTGAAATGCACAGTAGGCATAGTTCACATACTGAAATGCATGGATTTTAAAGGTATACTTAAGTGGTTTGGATAAATGCATACACCTGTAATTTGCACACCCAACGAAGTAAAGAATTTTGTGCCTTTTTCCCGTCACCACCTCCTCCCCATGACTGCTCTGATTTTTTTCACTATAGCTTAATTTTACCTATTGTTGAATGTCATACAAATGGAATCATATAACATATAGTCTTTTGTGTCTGATACCTTTCATTCAGCATAATGCATTTGAGATTCTTCCATGTGTATCCATAGTTCCTTTTTATTGCTGATGGTATTTGTTTATATAATATTCAATTGATGAACATTTGGGTTGTTTCCAGTTTGAGGCCAGGCATTTTTTTGGTGAGATTTTAACTTACTAAATCAGTTTTTTAACAGATACTTTGTGTCGGTTGTGATAAAGTTGTGTATCTCTCAAGGAATGTTTCACAATCATTGAATCACAGTTCTTGAATTTATTGACATAAAACTTTCATAGTATTTCCTTATTTTCCTTTTAATGTCTAAGGGATATCTAACAATGATCTCCTTTCATTTCCAAAATGTTAATTTATTTTTCTCTTTTATCCTTGATTAGTATTGCTAGGGGTTTGTCAGAGAATCAACTTTTTACTTTAATTTTTTGTTTTCTATTTCATTGATGTTTGCTCTTATTTCCTTCGTTTTTAGTAATGGTTTTAATTTTTTTTTAAACCTTAAGGTTAGTGTGCAGATCATTTCATATCTTCCTTTTCTAATATTAGCATTTAAGGCCATAAAATTCTCTCTAATCACTGCTTTAGTTGGATCCCACAAATTTTGACTTGTTTTTACTCTCATTCAGTTCAAAATATTTTCTAATTTCCTTTGTGATTTCTTCTTTGATCCTTGAGCCTCACTACAATATACTTCTATTGATCTTTTAAACAGTTGTCTCCTACATAAATTTAGAAATAAGGGGGAAAATTACGTCTTTTATGTTGCATAAATATTTATCATTTCTACCCCTTTTTGTTTTTGTCTGGAATCATTTCACTGAGCCTTTTTTTTAAAGTACTGATCCATTGGTAATAAATTTTCTCAGCTTTTTTCCAACTGAAAATGTCTTTATTTCATCCTTTGGTGTGTGTGTGTGAGTGTGTGTGTGTGTGTGTGAGTGTGTGTGTCGTGGTGCTGCATTGTGTAGCATGCCAGATCTTAGTTCCCTGACCAGGGATCTGTGTGCCCCCTGCATTGGGAGCACGGAGTCTTAACCACTAGATCACTAGGGAGGTCCCTCACCTTTATTTTTGAAGGATATTTTCGGAGGTTGTAGAACCCTTTTTTTTCTCCCAGTGGTTATAGAATGCTTGACTGACAGGTATCTCCCATCTTCAACACTTTAATCTTATTGTTCCATTGTCTTCTGGCCTCCATTGTTTTTTTATAAAAGGATAGCTATCATTTTTATCGTTGTCACCTGTATGTAATGGGTCTTTATTTTTCTTCTGGCTGCTTCTAATATTCTCTGTGGTTTTCAGCAGCTTGACTATGATGTGCCTGTGTCTGGGTTTTTTGTGTTTATCTTGCTTGGGTTTTATTGAGCTTTTAGATCTGTGGGTTGATATTTTTCAGATTTCAGCCATTATTTCTTCAAATATTTTTCTGTCCCAGTCTCATCTTTTTCTCGTTTTCTGGGGCTCAAATCACATGATTGTAGACTAATTATTATTGTTCTCAGGTGATTGAGGGTTCTTTTTTTTCCATTTTATGTTTTAGTTCTAGATTTTTTCATTTGGTTCTTTTTCTTTGTTTCCATTTTTCTGATGATGGTCCTTATCTTTTCTTTTAAAATTGTAAATTTTGGAATTGCTTTTTAATGCCCTTGTCTGTTAATTCCAGTATCCAGGTTGTCTCTGGGTTTTTTTTTTTTTTCTATTGGTACTGTTTTTTTTTTTATTTTTTATTTACTTTTGGCTGTGTTGGGTCTTCGTTTCTGTGCGAGGGCTTTCACTAGTTGCAGCGAGCGGCAGCCACTCTTCATTGCGGTGAGCGGGCCTCTCACTATCGTGGCCTCTCCCGTTGCGGAGAACAGGCTCCAGACGCGCAGGCTCAGCAGCCATGGCTCATAGGCCCAGCCGCTCCACGGCATGTGGGATCCTCCCGGACCAGGGCCCGAACCCGTGTCTTCTGCATCAGCAGGCGGACTCTCAACCACTGCGCCACCAGGGAAGCCCTGATACTGTTTTTAATCCCGCTTATAGGCCATACTTTCCTGCTTCTTCACATAATTAATCATGTGTTATGATTAGTTATGCTGATATACAACACTGTTGAAAGTTTACTTTTGTCTTCAAGAATGTTGAATTTTGTTCTGGCAGGCAGGTAATTTAAGTGGATCACTTTGATCTTGTCAAGGCTTGGTTTTGGGATTTGTTAAGGTAGGTATGAGTGGCACTTACAATGTAGGATGTAGTCCTTACTTGCGAGATGTGCTATTTCCGGGTCTCACCTAAGTGCTCGTGATTCTCAGCAGAGTCCAGTTCTAGTATTGTGTAACTTCCAGAATCTCTGCTAAGCTCCCAACCAAGCAGCAGCTGTTCTCTCCTAGGGCTCTCTTTGAAGCTCCTTGCTCTCTAACTGTTCTGCAAATTCCAGTTGCTTCAGTAGCCCTGAGCTATGTGCTCTGTTTTCTCTACCAGCAAGAGCAGAACCTCCTCTTCCCTTTGCTGCAATTTGGAAAATGCCCCTGAGAGAGCTGGGGAGAACGTGGAGTTTACCTGTGGTGTTTATTCTCATTCAGGGATCATAACCTTATGTTCTTTGTTGTCCAAAGACTGAAAACAGTTGCTTCATGCCTTTTGTCCAGTTTTACAGGTTTTTTGGTTTTTTAATTGAAGTATAGTTGATTTACAATATTGTGTTAGTTTCAGGTGTACAACAAAGTGATTCAGTTATACATATATATATGTATTCTTTTTTAAAGTTTCTTTTCCATTGTAGTTTATTTCAAGACATTGAATATATTTCCCTGTGCTAAGCAGTAAATTCTTATCGTTTATCTATTTTATATATGGTAGTGTGCATCTGTCGGTCCCATACTCCCAATTTATCCCTCTCCCCCCCAGCCCCTACCCTTCACCTTTGGTAACCACGAGTTTGTTTCCTATGTCTGTGAGTCTGTTTCTATTTTATAAATAAGTTCATTTGTACTATTTCTTTATATCTCACATATAAATGATATCATATAATATTTGTCTTTCTCTGTCCGACTTACTTCACTTAATATGATAATCTCTGGGTCCATCCATGTTGCTGCAGATGGCATTATTTCATTCTTTTTTATGGCTGAGTAATATATCCCAGTGTGTGTGTGTGTGTGTGTGTGTGTGTGTGTGTGTACACCACATCTTTATCCATTCATCTGTTGATGGACATTTAAGTTGCTTCCATATCTTGGCTATTGTAACTAGTGCTGCTTTGAACATTGGGATGCATGGATCTTTTCAAATTAGAGCTTTTGTCTTTTCTGTATATATGCCCAGGAGTGAGATTGCTGGATCATAATGGTAACTCTGTTTTTAGTTTTTTAAGGAGCCTCCATTCTGTTTTCCATAGGGGCTGCACCAATTTACATTCCCACCAACAGTGTAGGAGGGTTCCCTTTTCTCCACACTCCAGCATTTATTATTTGTAGACTTTTTTAGTATATGTGCTGCCGAAGCGAGCACTATTTGTAGACTTTTTGATGATGGCCATTCTGACCAGTGTGAAGTGATTATACCTCATTGTAGTTTTGATTTGCATTTCTCTAATAATTAGCGATGTTGAGCATCTTCTCATGTGCCTGTTGGCCTTCTATATTCCGTCTTTGGAGAAGTGTTTGTTTAGATCTTCTGCCCATTTTTTGATTGGGTTGTTTGTTTTTTTCTTCTTGAGTTGTATGAGCTGTTTGTATATTTTGGAAATTAAGCCCTTGTAGGTCTCATCTTTTGCAAATATTTTCTCCCAGTCTATAGGTTGTCTTTTCATTTTATTTATGGTTCCTTTTCTGTGTGAAAGCTTATAAGTTTGATTAGGTCCCATTTGTTTATTTTTGCTTTTATTTCTATTGCCTTGGGAGATAAGTTTTACAGTTCTTTACAGCAAGGTAGGGGGCATAAGTTTGAGCTGTTAATTCTTATGACCCAAACTGGAAGTTCAGCCTTCTTTTATTGAAAAGAAATTTTTATTATTCTGAGTTTTTTTTAAAATTGAGGTGTGGTTGATTTACAATAATGTTTTAATTTCAGGTGTACAACATAATGATTCAAAATTTTGATAGATTACACTCCATATTTATTATAAAATGTTGGCTATATTCCCTGTGTTATACAACAGGGGTCCCCAACCCCTGGGCCGTGGCCTGTTATGAACTGGGCTGCACAGCAGGAGGTGAGCGGTGGGCGAGTGAGGGAAGCTTCATTTTGCCACTCCCCGTTGCTCTCATTACCGCCTGAACCATCCCCCCCAGACACACACACGCGCGTCCGGGAAACATTGTCTTCCATGAAGCTGGTCCCTGGTGCCAAAAAGGTTGGGGACTGCTGCTATACAATATATCCTTATAGCTTATTTATTGTGTACATCAACCTTCTTTTCTTCTTTTTCTTTTTCTTTTTTTTTTTTTTTTGCGGTACGTGGGCCTCTCACTGTCGTGGCCTCTCCCGCTGCGGAGCACAGGCTCCGGATGCGCGGGCTCAGCAGCCATGGCTCACGGGCCCAGCCGCTCCGCGGCATGTGGGATCTTCCCAGACCGGGACACGAACCCGTGTCCCCTGCATCAGCAGGCGGACTCTAAACCACTGCGCCACCAGGGAAGCCCCATCAACCTTCTTTTAAAAATACATTTTTATTTTAACCAAACTGCCAAAGTAATAGTCTTTTTTTTTTTTTTAACATCTTTATTGGAGTATAATTGCTTTACAATGGTGTGTTAGTTTCTGCTTTATAACAAAGTGAATCAGTTATACATATACATATGTTCCCATATCTCTTCCCTCCAAAGTAATAGTCTTTTATTAGTCACCTAGGTAGGGTAACTTACAATATTCCCCAGTTCATGAAAATCTTTCCTTAACCTTTCATTTAACGCCTATGTTAATACAAACCAAGCTCGAGTCAGCCCTTCAACGTCCTACACTCCCAGTCGTCATAAGAGGAGTTATGAAGATGATGAAGATATGGACCTACAGCCGAATAAACAGAAAGAGCAGCATGCGGGTGCCAGGCAAGCAGGTAGTGTGTGCCATTGGGCTTTCGGTAGACTTCTGGTCTCTTGCAGTAGATTCGTATTCAGAATTAATTGTTGTATAATGTAGCTCTAGATTTAGGAGCTGGCAGTGATTTGACAACTTTGAGGTTTATCAGAATTATAGACAGTTTTGAGAGTTTGAACAGTTACTCTTTGGTCAGACTATGCTTCATAATTGAGCAGTTAGGCATCACTTAGTGAGAAGTGGCTACTCTCCTGTCAGTTGTTAAGGGTCTCAACTTGGGTAGCTGGAAAAGGTCTTTTATCTTCATATTTTTTTAATCTCAGCTTTTAAGTAATATGAGGTACTCTACCCTAAAAGTGACTTATTTATATCTGAAACATCCTTTTTTATTTTCTTTTTGGAATAGTGATGCTTTTAATTAGTAAGACTGAAAACATTGGAGGAAAAATGTGAAATTGTGGTATACTGGATTACTTACTCCTAAACTTTAAAGCAAATAACCCTTAGAATAGTCACAGTTCTGTTTGTTCTATTTATGTAAGTTTGTAGTGGTTTATGTATTAAAATTAATTAAAATGCAATTCTGATTAAAACAAGGAGACCAAAAGTTGAAATTTTCTAAGAGAATGAGAGAATTTCAAAATTGGTATATATCATTATTGATTTCTCCAGTCACAGTTATTATGAGCACTGAATGCCTTCATATTGCACGTAGATTAGTTTGTCTTTATTTCTCCTTTTGTGTCCAGTCATTTCTCTTTAGCATCTTTAATCCAAGGACAAGTTAAAGGCAGAGGAGGTAAAAACAAATTAGTCTCGTTAATTTGAATGTGAAGGATGGGTTGAGAGGGCAAATATAACAGTCAGTGGTAAACAAAGATTTACTACTGAATTTCATTTAATCATATATTATTCTACTTTATAAGTTCATATTACCGTATTTCTTTAATGCTAAGGCATATTTTAATGTTTTTAAAATTGGAATGTTTTACAGTAAATGTATACAAATGTGATAGTATTCTTTTTCTCCACTCACCCCCCAAATGTTTACTAAAATTAATGGTGTATTATAACAATAAATAACATATTAGAATCCAAGACATGGTAATTCTCTTATCATTTAAGCTATTGATGCTTCTTTCTACTTCTTGCCCCTTTTGTTTGACTATCATACTTTTCAGGGCTTTTGAATACATTTGAGTGCATTATTTATGTAAAGTTTACCTTGTTTGTTGGTTTCTAGGCAATCTTTCAGGCTGTATATATATTTTAAGCTGTTTTGGAGATAAGTGTAGGTTCAAATGCAGTTGTAAAACATAAGAGAGATCCTGTATATACTTGATCCAGTTTCATCTGGGTCAACACCTTGCATAATTAATAGTAGAATATCATAACCAGGAAATGGATATTGATATAGTCCATAGACCTTACTCAGAATTCACATTTTTACATGCAGTTATTTTTGTGCATGTGTATGTATTAGTTCTATGCAGTTTCATCACGTGTACATTCATGTGACCACTACCACAGTGAGGACACAGAACAGTTCATTACCCGGATCTCTCATGTTGCCCTTTTATAATCATACCCACCTCTCCTGCCTCTCTACCTCCCCCCTGGCAACCACTAATTTGTTCTTCATCCCTATAATTTTGTCATTTTAAGAATGTTACATAAATGGAATCATGTAGTATATAGACTTTGTAGATTGGCTTTTTTCATTCAGCAAAATTCCCTTGAGATCCATTCAAGTTGTTGCTTATATCAATAGTTTATTCCTTTTTATTGCTGAGCAATATTGTGTGGTATGGGAAGCTATATTTTAATTCTAACTAGTTATCAGCCCTAAACTGTGACTACTTAAGGGGTAGAGGCTATCTTTATTTTTTTTAATTAATTAATTAATTAATTTTAGTTTTGGCTGTGTTGGGTCTTCGTTTCTGTGTGAGGGCTTTCTCTAGTTGTGGCAAGGGGGGGCCACTCTTCATCGTGGTGCGCAGGCCTCTCACTGTTGCGGCCTCTCTTGTTGCGGAGCACAGGCTCAGTAGTTGTGGCTCACAGGCCCAGTTGCTCCGCGGCATGTGGGATCCTCCCAGACCAGGGCTTGAACCCGTGTCTCCTGCGTTGGCAGGCAGACTCTCAACCACTGCGCCACCAGGGAAGCCCGAGGCTTTTTTTTTTTTTTTTTGCGGTACGAGGGCCTCTCACTGTTGTGGCCTCTCCCGTTGTGGAGCACAGGCTCCAGACGCGCAGGCTCAGCGGCCATGGCTCATGGGCCTAGCTGCTCCGTGGCATGTGGGATCTTCCTGGACTGGGGCACGAACCTGTGTCCCCTGCATTGGCAGGCGGACTCTCAACCACTGCGCCACCAGGGAAGCCCCCGAGGCTATCTTTAAATGATCTTTTCTATCCCCAGCAACTAGTCTGATTCCTGGTACATAGTGGACATTAATAGATGTTTGGTAAATGAATTTATTGCTATATGGTTTTATTCTACTTAATAAGTAGAAAGAAGTATGTTCTACAAAGGTGTTTTTGTTGTCAGTAGACCCGTGTACTCCTTGGGTCAAAGATGTCAAGTAATGATGTTAAATATTAACTTTTAAAGTTACTTACATGAGATTTGATGGGGGGGGAATTTGTTGCCTTTTTATTGCCGGTGGAAAGTGATTACACTTTCAGATCTTCATAATAATCTTTGTTCTCTTGATAGGTCAAAGGGCTTCTAGTATGTGTTATTTCCTTAAAAACTGTAACAACTTGAAGTTTGCAAGCTCAGAAGCATCATTTCTATCAAATTCAAAAGGCTGTTTAGGAATGTTCTTTATCTCCAGGAAGCCTTAGCAATGACGATGTGCAATGCTTTCCCTTTGAATTTAGGGAGTGTTGGTGGTCTTCAGTGGTGTGGAGAACCAAAACGTTTAGAAACTGAAGCTTCTTCTGGACAACAGCTGAACTCGCTAAACCTCTCTTCTCCTTTTGATCTGAATTTTCCACTGCCAGGAGAGAAGGGTCCTGCATGCCTCGTGAAGGTAATAAAATCTTTCATAGACCTGATGCTGACAAAGATGTGTTAAGTGTCTCAGAAATTAAAACAGAAAACTCTTAGCATTTGTATTAGCAAATTTTCTGTTGCTGCTATAACGAATCACCACAAACTTAGTGGCTTAAAACAACAAAATTTATCATTTTGCAGGCTTTAGGCCAGAAGTCCAACATGGATCTCACTGGGGGTAAAATTCAGGTGACAGCAGGACTGGTTCCTCTCTGGAGGCTTTAGTGGGGGAATATGTTTTTTTGCCTTTTCCAGCTTTTGGAGGCTGCCATTATTCCTTGGCTTGTGGCCCCTTCCTCCATCTTCCAAGTCAGCAGTAATGCAGCCCTCTGACCATTTCTTCATAGTCACATCTCCCTCTGACCTTAGGTAGGAGAGATTTTCAATTTTAAGGACGTGTATGATTAAATTGAGCCCACCCATGCAGTCCAGAATAATCTCCCGATCTTAGGGTCCTTAATTTATACAAGTTCCTTTTACATGTAAGGTAACAACATACTCAAGGATTCCAGTGATTAAGAAGTAGATATTGGTCGGAGTGGTGGGGGGACATTATTTTGTCTACCACAGCATTGTTTACAAAAAATGGATATTTCAGATAGATGTGGAACAACTTTTAAATTAATTTCTATTTCCTTCCTATATCATTTCTAACTTACTAATATCTGCTTTATTTTTTAATATTTATTTATTTATTTATTGGCCGTGTCGGGTCTTAGTTGTGTGGGATCTTTGTCGCGGTGTGCTGGCCTCTCTCTAGTTGAGACGCGCAGGCTATGTAGTTGCAGCACGGGCGTAGTTGCCCCACCACATGTGGGGTCTTAGTTCCCGCACCAGGGATCGGACCTGCGTACCCTGCATTGGAAGGCGGATTCTTAACCACTGGACCACCAGGGAAGTCCCTATCTGCTTTATTTTCATCATTCTTCCTTTTCTTATCAAAAGCCATTTCTCACTTAGATTTAAAATAAGGTAGAAGGAAAAAAATCTGTTAATAGTTTGTTCCCCTGTTCTGCTTATTCTGATTTTTTAATCATGAGAGGTGAACAAGTTTCAGAAATGATCATTGAGAATTTCTGTTCTTATTTGTTGTGGTTTTAACTTAAATGGCACTTCAGTTATGTAGCACAGGAGCAAGAATTAGTACGTTTTTCCTTCCATGCTTCTCTTAGGTCTCACCAGTAGGAGGCTTTGACAGTTTCTAATATCCGTCATGATAGACAGCTTTGAAAGTTTGGCTCTTTACTGTGAGAAACCTCATGGCCATTCTAAGTTTGTGTTAATCCTCCTGACACTACGTAGCTTGTGAATAAGTCCAAAGTTAATAATCGTGGGGTTTTCCCTTCTCTTGATGTAGTTAATGGATTTTGAGATAATGCATGTTTCTAGTTTTAGTTGACCATCATCCTTGGGGGAAAGCCTTTTCTCTGAATGTAGTGGGGAAACAGACATTGGCCAGGAGTCAGGAGGTCCCATGTTTTAGTTGTTAATGAATTTGCTCATTGCAGAATGACTTCAGGTAAGTGCTTTACCTCTCTTGATCTCAATTTATCAAATAAAGGAGTTGCTTTGAGGTTTATTTTCTGATTTAAAATGCTAAGATATTATTATTACTTTAAGACTAATATCGTATGCTTTTTTGGTGTTATTTAGTCCTAACAATGTGATTTTGTGTGGCCTCTTGTTAGGTCTATGAAGACTGGGATTGTTTTAAAGTAAATGATGTTCTTGAGTTATATGGCATACTATCTGTGGATCCCGTGCTAAGTATACTGAATAATGATGAAAGGTGAGTCTATTTTGACATAATTACCCTCCAACTTTTCTGAAAGTTTGAAATTATAAAGAACCCCCTTTCTCCCTTCACCCAAATTTACAAGTTGTTAACACTTACGCTCCATTTGCTTATTTTTATATACACACATTTTTATATATACGTACACTTTTTGGAAACACTTGAGAGTAAGTTACATATGTCATATCCTAAATACTTGTTGCATTCATATTTCCTAAGAACAAAGACCTCCTCGTATATAATCAGAGTATAGCTACAAAGTTTGGAAATTTGCTGTGAATACACAATACACTAACCACAGATCACACTAAATTTCACTAATTGTCTCATTGCTGTTCTTTCTGACAGTCATTTTCTTGGTCCAGAATCCTTAGGATCACTCGTTGCATTAATCTGGAGCAGTCTCCAGCTCTTTGTTGTCCTTCAAGGCCTTGACAATTTTTTCTGTTCTTTCAGCTTATACAACAAAAAATTCATATCTCACAGTTATGGAAGTTGGGAAATCCAAGGTTAAGATGCCAGTGTCTAGTGAGGGCCTTTTTCCTGGTTTGCAGATGGTTGTCTTCTTGCTGTGTCCTCACATAGCAGAGCAGAACCTTGACACTTGAAGAGTAGAAGCCAGTTATTTTGTAGGATGTCTCTCAGTTTAGGTTTGTCTGATGTTTCCGTGTGATTAGATTTTGGTTATACATTTTGGGCAGGAAACTACAAAGTGATATATCTTTCTCAGTGTATCACACCAGCAGGTACAATATCCCCTTCCTGGTGAAGTTCTTTTTGACCACTTGGTTACTTGTGGTACACACGTACATCAGTCTTTATTTTATTTACAAGTCGGTATACCAGAAACCATGAGCTCACACTGTCTTCCTGGTTCCAGTTCAGTTCAGCTCCACAACTCAGTGTCATTCTAGTCTTCCTCCTTTCCGTATTTGTAATTCCCTTTTCTAACAGAAAGAAACTTGACTCCCAGTATCCTCAGTATATTCCTTTGCTCAGTTCTATGATATAGTAGGGTCCCCCTTACTTTGGTTTTGCTTTCCATGGTTTCAGTTACCTACAGTCAACCGCTGTCTGAAAATATTAACTGGGAAATTCCAGAAATAAACAATGTTTCAAATTGCATACCTTTCTTAGTAGCGTGATGAAATCTCAAGTTGTCCCACTCTGTCCTGCCCAGGATGTGAATCATCCCTTTGTCCAGGGTATGCCATCAGTTAGTCACTTAGTAGCCATCTCAGTTATCAGATCGACTTTCCAGGTATCACAGTGCCTGTAGTGCAGTAACCCTTATTTTACTTAATAATGTCCCCAAAGCACAAGAGTAGTGATCCTGGCAATTTGGGTATGCCAAAGAAAAGCTGTAAAATGCTTTTTTTAAAGTGAAAAGGTAAAATTTTTTGACTTATATGGAAAGAAAAAAAAATCGTTTGCTGAGGTTGTTAAGATCTACAGTAAGAACAGTAGAAGATTCTGTGAAATTGTTGAGATGGAAAAAGAAATTAGTGCTAGTTTTGCTTTTGCATCTCAACCTGCAAAAGTTACAGTTACGGTATGGGATAAGTGCTTAGTTAAGATGGAGAAGGCATTAAATTTGTACAATAAGATATTTTGAGAGAGAAACCACATTCACATAACTTTTATTACAGTATATCATTGTAATTGTCCATTTTTATTATTAGTTATCATGGTTAATCTCTTACTGTGCCTAATTTGTAAATTAAACTTTATCATAGGAATGTGTATATAGGAAAAGACATATTGTATATGGGGCTCAGTACTATCCACAGTTTCAGGCATCCACTAGGGGTTTTGGAATGTATTCCCTGCTGATAAGAGGAGACAGCTATGCAGAGAAGGTAATTTCAGAATTGATAACCCATACCACTGCAAAAAACAAACCTAGTAACTTGAGTTCATTATTTGTTTCCAATTTTTATTTTAGAATGAGAGTGTATATATAGTCAGCTGTGTTCTAGAGTTACCTGGGTGACTTCTTCCCACTTCGGTGCTCTGCTAGTTGTTACTCGTTGTACGTAGTTAGGTTCATTTGTTTCCATTGTGTTTCACTGCAGAGTTTTCCCTCTGTCCTTATTGGTTTCTGTACTTAAAGGTAAGTATAGAAAACATGGAAGTTGTTGCCAAAATCAAAACTGTATAAGAAGAATGTAGGAATGTCATTCCCCACTACCCTCATTTCTTCTACCCTGCTCCCACCCATGCTCTTCTGTAGGGCAGGAGAGCGAGGCTTCATCTGCTGCTCCCCTTGCTCGCGTTACCACCTGGGCCATCCCCCCAACCCCTGCACCCCCCACTCCCCAGCCCATCCGTGGGAAAATTGTCTTCCATGAAACTGGTCCCTGGTGCCAAAAAGGCTGAGGACTGCTGCTGTAGGGAACCAGCCTCAGTTCTGCTTTTATCCTTCCTGTATCTCTTTTTTGCAAAAACAGATACATACATATATTTTTTCCTCACTTAGCCTTATATAAAAGGGGACATGGTATATGTGCTCTTTTACATACTTTTTTCCCCTCACTTAGTATATTCTGAAAATCCAGATCATCCTCATTCTTTTTTATTTTGTTTTGAGGTTGGCAAAAGAAAGGAATTATATTCTGTCCCTGCAGTAGAGTTTTTTGTTAAATATTGGACATTCATTTTGGTTTTCCATAGGAAGAACTCATTTTTTCACACGTAAAAAATGATGCAAAACAGACATTTTAAACAACTTTAAATAAACAGTTCCATAATAATGGCATACACAATTGCTTGTCTTGGCTGTTTCTGGTTATGGTGAATTTCCTGCTTGAGTTACTTCATTTATGGAGGCATTTTAGTACACAGACTGAGCCAGATGGCCTGGGTTGGGATCCTGGTTTGGCCACTTACTGGCTTTGTGACCTTACACTTAACTTCTGCAGTGGCTTGGTTTCCTCATTATACATGAGGGTGGTTGTGAGGTTTTAATGAATTTGTGCAAAGTGAAGAACATTGCCCGGCACATGGTACTCACTGTATAAAGGCTGTTGGTATCATTCTTGTATTTAAGGAAGATGGTGGTATGAATTGATTACTCTCTAGAGTCAGTCTGTAAAGTCTAAAAACATCTTAGTCATTTGTTTCAATCATCTCGCAATAAATCTGTCATCTGCTAATTTATTTAGCAAACCTGAAAAACTCACACTTCCTTTTCACTGCTTGTCTATTCACTATTCAAGAGAGGTATCATGTAAGAATAAAATTTAGGAAAAAAAATTAGCAAGAGAGATGAATGGATTCTTCACACTGAATAGTAGACACCTGATGGCTTTTAAGGGAGAGACCCCCGTTTTTGAGACATGTGATGAAGTATTTGGTGTCCCAGTAGTAGCTTAAGAAAGGGTGTCTGCGTTCTGAAGGAACTTGATGAGTGATAAGCTGTATCCCGTTTGTTGCAGTTACAACACACTCAGTAAAAATGTTACTGATCTTGAAGAATAGAATAAATACACTGTCTCATAATATGATCAGAGTAGCCTGAAATCTGTGATGTAACTGTTCACAAGGAAGAGGAGCATTTTCTGCTCTTTAAGGGGACGTGCAGGTGAAATTGTTCTTGGCTTGAGTTCTCATTTGATTTTCAGAGATGTGTTTTTTTTTTTTACATCTATACAGCTGCCGCCTTTGTGAACTGAAGCTCTGTCATCTCTCCGCAGGGATGCCTCTTCGCTGCTAGATCCAATGGAATGCACAGACACAGCCGAAGAACAGAGAGTGCGCAGTCCTCCTGCCTCCTTAGTGCCAAGAATCCATGTGGTTTTAGCCCAGAAGTTGCAGCACATCAACCCTTTACTGCCTGCTTGCCTTAACAAGGAGAGCGAAACCTGTAAGTGTAAAGTGCCGAAACCTCGTGGCCCAGAGGTTTACCCAGCATGTGAACGCTGCGTGGCGGAGCTGTCAGTCAGGTTCTTGGTCGTCAGAATAAATTTCTCCAGCGGTCACCATTTCTTTGCCCCATTTTCCTTTGTGTTAATTCTCTTCATTAAAATGAGGCCCCCCAAAAGATACACACGCTGTCTTATTTTGACAACTGGCATCACTTACCAATATTTTAAGTCCATACTAGTCATCTACTGACGTGCAGTGCTTTGTTCCAGTTTCTTTTTAACCTAAGAGACACGAGAGGAACTGGTTTGTGTTCTGAATCTGGTCTTTTTTCTCTCTCTAGTTGTTTCCAGTTTCATGTCTGAATTGTCTCCAGTCAGAGCAGAACTGCTTGGGTTCCTCACTCACGCCCTTTTGGGAGACAGTTTGGCTGCTGAATATCTTATATTACATCTCATTTCTACAGTGTAAGTGCTCTGTTCTTGGTGGGGATTAAGGGAGTTTGGTGTTTTGTTGAGAGGGGAAAAGAACAGAAACGTTTCTGGTTTTATTGGGCTTCATCACCAGATGGTTATTTTTTCAGTGTAACCGGTGTTATACCAAATCACAGAAAGTCCTTTTTCAACTTTTCTCAGTGTCACATGTAGCATTTTGATTGTATCTCCTTAAATTTAAGAGCAAAAATCAGATAAAGAACCTGGCCAATGAGTAAAATGAGCTGTTTTACCCTTTTTGCATTCTGAATTCTCTATTTATACATCCCAAGGCTCTGTGAGGTCCATTGGGTGTACATCTCACTTGTATGTGGACATGTGCCCCTCTCCCTTTCACTTCACTACAGCTCTTTGTTTTCTGATTTCAAAATAACATGTGTGCCTTCAACAAGTTCCAAGAGCATAAAGAAGAAAATTGAAATTGTCTGTAATCTCACCACTTAAAGATGATCTCAGTTAACAGATCTTGGTACCTGTTCATATCATCTTTTTTTTGTTTACACATGTATCCATCCCTACTTAGATCTCAATTATACTCTAAACAGGTCATTATCTTGCTTTTATCATTTATATTAAGCGTTTCCTATCATAATTCTTCTTGAACCTCTTAATGGCTGTGCAGTATTTCATTACAGACATTTGTACTTTTTCCCTAAATGTTAGGTTTTCCTACTTTTTCTCTGTTTAAATAATCCTCCAGTAAACATCTTTGTACTATAAATCTTTCCTCAGGTAGGATTTGAGACAGTAGTACATGATGGTTGAGAGCATAGACTCTGGAACCAAACTACCTGGGTTCAAATTCAGCTCTGTCACTTCCTGGCTACGTGAATGGCATGTTTCTTAAAATTTCTGTATCTCAGGTTTCTCATCTGTAAAATGAAAATAATAATACCTACCTCAGAGTGTTTGGGAATTAAATGAGAAAGCATTTAAGTACTTAGAACAGTACCTGGCATGTGCCCAGCACTTAAATATTGGCTATTATTTTTATTGTTGTTTCTGCTTAAAAAAACAACTGATCAGAATAATCTGCTTTAATTTTAATGACAGTATTAAGCTAATTTTTCTTCGTTTGCTTTTTGATGGAGATCAGGAAATCACCTGAGTACCTTATTGGTTGATATCTTTTTTTCCTAGATATACAAGAAGAGATGTTCTTCCACTAGGAAAATTTACGGTTAACTTGAGTGGGTGTCCACGGAATAGTACCTTCACGGAACACTTATATCGAATTATTCAACATCTAGTTCCAGCAGTAAGATCAATATAAATATAAATATGTATAAATATGTATTATAAGCTTAAGTACACTTTAAAAGTCCCTCTAATTGTCTTTCATTCAACCCAAATATTTAACTTTGAGATGTTAACAGACCTCATTAAGGGGAAACAAAGCCTGCCTAGTTTCATAATTTAAAATGTACTAACTCCTAAACATTTCACGTTTCCTTTATTGCCTTAGCACAGGTTTCTTCAAGTAACAACACAACTGTAGTAACTCCCTTAACATTGTACTCTCTGTTGATGCCAGTTTGTTTGTACAATTTGGTGTCCTTTGTGTGCTTTAAAATCGTAAATCTAAGTAAGCTCTAAATTATAGCATAATTCTTTTAGTTGAGGTAATAACTTTATCTCTGCTGCCCCAGTTTTAATTCCTGTTTGGAAAGTCAAGCTACCTTTATTTGCCAGGACATCTGGAACGCAGTGTTTGTGTGGTATTAAGATCTTGGGGACAGGGGAATAGCTTCTGATTAGTTGTGTGACTGGCAATGCCAATCATTTCTTTGGAAATTTAAGAGGTTGAAACAGATCATTCATTTAACCAGTGTTTATTGAGTGTCTTCTGGGCTCTTAAGAAACAGCATTGGACTAAATAGACCAACATTTCTCACTCTCCTTGACTCACTTTACACTGTTAAAAAATTATTGAGAACTTAAAGAGATGTTGTTTGGGTTTTTATTATCAATTTACCATATTAGAAGTTAAAACTAAAAACATATTAAAATATTCATTGAAAATCAATTGCATATGAGCAGAAGTAAAATATTTTTGTAAGAAATAGCTATTTTTCCAAACAAAAAAATGTTAGTGATAAAAGTGACATTGTTTTAAATTTTTGCCAGTCTCTGTAATGTCTGGGTTAATAGAAGACATCTGGATTGTCATATCTGTTCCTGCATTCAGTCTATTGTAACACGATGTTTTGACTGAAGTATATGAAGGAATGCTGGCCTTACACAGATGAAAAAGTAGTTGGCAAAGGAAGGACTTTTAATGGCATTTTCAGATAACTATAGATATTCTTCTGATACTGGACCAAAACTGTCCATATGGCATTTTCTTCAAGGATAGTTGTGTGAAATCTGTAATCTCATCAATGAACTTTTTATACTCTGCTATCGTAAATTCATTGGTCTGTCTTGCACATTGAATGGATCTTTTATCCCTGTGTGATTTTGACCTCATGGACCCCATAAAAGGGTTTCAGCAACTCCCTGGGAGTGCCCTGGACCACATTTTGTTGGTGGTGGAAGACCAACAAATAATAAATAACATATAGTATGTCACTGAAGTGCCATGGAGAACAGTAAAGGCCCAGGGTAAGGGGATAGGGAGTGCTGGGGGGTAGGCCAGTGTGGAGTTGCTGACATCTACAGCATGTCGGGGAAGCCCTCTCCAGGGTGGAGTTCAGGGAGAGACTTGATGCAAACCCAGGATCAAGACACAGGGCCGTGTTGGGGAAAGTGTCTGTCCTGTGCAGAGAACAAGTTCAGGGTCCAAGCGCAGCCTGCTGGGCATGTTGAGGAACGCCAGCCCGAGGGGCTGGTGTACTGCCATGGAATGAGTGTTGGGGAGGAGCGTAGGACGTGAGTTCTGAGTGGCAGCCTAGGGCCACTCAAAGCTTGAGGCCAAAATTTAAGTAGCACATACTTGGGACATGAATTATATTTTTAAGTATGAAAGTGATATGAGGAAAGTACTCAAGGTTCTTGCATGGTAAGGTATTTCCTTTTTGTTCTTTTTATTCTACATCACTTTGTAGTGGTTTGTTTTACTGTTTCATTTTTACCATATCCCACTCGCTTATATTACTCTTATGTTTGTGTCTAGCTAGCACTGAACTTTTTCTAAACACTTGCCTTTTTAATATCTTATTTAGTTTTCGTAGCAGTAAGTGTGAGTGAGCTGCTTTTGTTTATATGGAGCTGCACCCTGCTTTATGCCACCTTTTGTTTCGACAGACTCTGTTTCTTTCGGGATCATTTCCTTGTATCTATAACATGACCGCCCCCCTCCGCTTTCTTTGAATTACTGAGCCAAAGTACAAAAATCCTCTGCATTTTGAAAATACATCTTCTCTCTTCCTTGACATCCTTCCCCACCCCAGTCTCCACCCGTACCACACATACTTCTTTATGGTCCAGAGTGATCTTAGATTGGAGTACAACGCAGGGTGCAGAGGGCACTGGGTGTGGTGGGCTCAGGAAGATGGAGGGAGGTGCAGGTGGACTTAACTGATTTTCTACTGAGTGCTCACCCAGTGCTGAGACTGGGTGAGGAGGCAGCTCTCCCGGGTGGAGCAGGTTCCGAGACCCACAGCGCTGATGACAGTGTGGAGTTCTCCGCACCTCAGGCCTCCTTGGAGCAATTTGTTTAGAGGTCTGCAGCTGTCTATGCTGAATGAATACGGTTTTATTTTATTTTCAAAATTTATTAAAAAATTTTAAAATGGGAGTATAGTTGATATATAATATTATATAAGTTACAGGTGTGCAATATAGTGATTCACAGATTTTTTAAAAATTGAAGTACAGTTGATTTACGTGTTGCGTTAGTTCCAGGTGTGCAGCACAGTGATGCACTGACACATACATATATATCTATTTTTCTCAGATTCTTTTCCCTCATAGGTTATTACAAAACATTGAGTATACTTCCCTGTGCTATATAGTAGGTCCCTGTTGGTTATCTGTTTTATATGCAGTAGTGTATTATGTTAATCCCAAACTCCTAATTTATCCCCCCACCCCCCAACCCTTTACCCTTTGGTAACCATAAGTTTGTTTTCTGTGTCTGTGGGTCTATTTCTGTTTTGTATATAAGTTCATTTGTTTTTTTTTTTTTTTTAAGATTCCACATGTAAGTGATATCATACGATATTTGTCTTTCTCTGTCTGGCTTACTTAGTATGATAATCTCTGGATCCATCCATGTTGCTGCAAATGCCATTATTTCATTGGTTTTTATGGCTGAGTATTCCATTATATATATGTACCACATCTTCTTTATCCATTCATCTGTTGATGGACATTTAGGTTGTTTCCATGTCTTGGCTATTGTGAATAGTGCTGCTATGAACAAAGGGGTGCGTGTATCTTTTTTATTTAGAGTTTTGTTTGTATGCCCAGGAGTGGGATTGCTGGATCCTTTGGTAATTCTATTTTTAGTTTTCTGAGGAAACTCCATACTGTTTTCCATAGAGGCTGCACCAACTTACATTCCCACCAACAGTGTAGGAGGGTTCCCTTTTCTCCACACCCTCTCCAGCATTTATTATTTGTAGACTTTTTGATGATGGCCATTCTGACCAGTGTGAGTGATATCTCACTGTAGTTTTGATCTGCATTTCTCTAATAGCAATGTTGAGCATCTTTTCATGTGCCTTTTGACTGTGTGTATGTCGTCTCTGGAGAAATGCCTACTTAGGTCTGTGCCCACTTTTTTTTTTTTTTTTTTTTTTTT